TAAACTACCTGTCTGTTTATCATTGACGTTAATTGCTTTCATGTGGGTCCCCAGGACTGAACTTAGGTTGTCAGGCTTAGCAACAGGTGCCTTTACCCACTGAGCCATCTTGCCAGAACCCTAAACAAACTCCTTTTATAGTATAGTCTCAAATAATATGACAATTTGATGGTGATAAAAATAAATAAGAGCTGACTGCTTGATAGCACACTTTTACATTTTTTATTACTTTATTTAGCTTTATGTGCATTGGTGTGAAGGAGTCAGATTTCCTGGAACTGGAGTTACAGTTATGAGTTGCCATGTGGGTGATGGGAATTGAACCCAGGTCCTCGGGAAGAGCAGCCAGTGCTATTGGGTGCTGAGCCATCCCTCCAGCCCCGTCAGCACTCTTATGAGGCAGTGTGGAGCCACATGCCTGCAATGCCAGCACGCTACCCAGTGTATTCTAGGATATCCTGGGCTGGAGGCTGTCTAAAAAACCCAAATAAATAAAATTTAAAAGATAACTTACATCCTTTTTTTTTTTTTTTGAGACAGAGTTTCTGTGTAGCCCTGGCTGTCCTGGAACTCTATTGTAGACTGTGTCTGGCCGCTGAGTGCTGGGATTAAAGGTGTGCACCACCACCACCCATCTGAGAACGTACATTCTGAACTCGTGTTGAAATAATTGTCTAGAACATGGTTTCATCAGAGGCACTGGAGAATGTACCAGAAGTTCATGGTTACAGTTGCTAGAAATTGGGGCAGAGAATCCATGGCTGATACATGATTTTAGAAATAACCCTTTTCAGGATTGCTGTCATTCACACAGTAGGGAGGGAGGGCCAGAACCTAGAGGGAAGCTTCAGTAAGTACATTGGTTGTCTTGAACACAGGGACCTAAATTCCAGTCTTAGAACACAGAACCCAATGTGGTGGCACATGTTGGTTAATCCCAGCACTAGGGAGACACTGGTGGGTGCCTGGGGTCCCTGGCTGGTCTAGCCTAAACACTGACCTTGAGGTCAATGAAAGACCACAACTCAAAAGAGACGAAGGCTTCCCTGAGGACGACATGGATGTCGGATGTATTCTTTTGATACAGTAATTTTCTTTTCAAGACAGGGTTTCTCTGTGTAGTCCTGGCTGTCCTAGAACTCAGATATCCGCCTGTCTCTGCCTCCTAAGTGTTAGTATTAAAGGTGTGCACTACCACCAACCGGCTTGATACGCAATTTTATATTCATTAAAAAATAAAGCCAAACAACAAAACCTGACTGGCGCTCTCTCTCTCCCTTCTGACAGAGGCTGTGAGCAATGAAACCCCTATATACAAATGACAAACATTAGGGTGCTTCCAACTCAAACCTCGTTAAGTGCTAGATCTGCGGGGAAGAGTGTGACCCCTTGTGTTCAAGGCGCTGCCAGCAACATGGTCTCTATACTGTGAGGTCAATGGAAATAGTAAGAAAAACATCAAAATGGAGGTGAGTTAGGTGTCATAAGTGACATACATTTGGGGATTATCTACTAAAAGCCATACTTTCAGCTGGTTTATAGAAACCTGAAATATTGAACACTTTTCTCCAGTTTCTAATACCTTTTTTGACTCCTAGGGCCAGACAGAATGGAAGTAATTATATGGCCCGATTTGTTCCTGGGAGTCTGTGTGTGAAATGCTGGCAGTTTTAATTTCCATACTAATGTTGGAAAAACATTTCGAGAGGCAAAGTAATAGAAAGGTCTCTGTAATAGAAAAAATACAGAGAAAAAAACAAACACAACAAACAGCAGACAGGAAGGTGAGTGACCGCTGTGGTGATGGCTGGGATCACTTACTCCACGGTGATTCCAACTGCCCATCATTTCTGTAGGAAGACACCATGTCTGCTATTCACTGCAACAGCCTTTCCTTGGCATGCTGCCTTCAGTGAACTCTAACCGGCAAAGCTAACAAGGTGTTTTCCCCCCACGAAGCCTTGGTTTTCTCCTTGAAAACCACCTACCTGTTTTGTAGTTCACAAGATCAAACAAAAAAAATCTGCTTTATTGATCTCACCAACAGCTCATGTAGACACTCACTCATTGGAACCGATTTTTTTTTGCTTCAGCCTTAATTCATTGAGAAATGAGTACATTTATTTATCTATTTTGAGACACGGTCTTGGATTGTAGCTCTGGTTGGCCTGGAGCTCTGAGACCTGCCAACCTCTGCTTCCTCACTGCTAGGATCAAGGTGTGTGTCACCACACCTGGCTTGAATGCAGGGATTTCCCCAAAACATCTTGACATAAGAATGTTAAGAGGCTATGGCTGTGTGTGACAGGACCATCCAAGTTACAGAGATTGGAAAAGTATGCAACTGAGAACAGGAGCATTTAATAACTGCACTGGGGAACGCGACATCGGGGAAGCAGATGTCGAACAGTGCTAAACTGAGCAGCTGACCGGTGGGTTAGCACCAATGCTAGTCTGTACTAAGGAAGGGAGATGCGAAGTAAGGTACAAGGTAGGCCTGCAGAAAGGGAGGCTCCATAGGATGAAGTAACTGAGCCGGGTGTGGAGGCGCACTGTGAGGTCGAGGCCAGCCTGGTCTACAAAGAGAGGAGTTAGTTCTGTGACAGTCGGGACTGTGACACAGAGAAACCCTGTTTCAAAAGCCAAAAGAGAAAAGGATGAAGTAACTGAGGTGAGCACAGACGCCAGCGTCCTTTAATAGAGGACAGCTGTAAGTAGAGGAGGTGGATCTGATGAGCAGTAAGGGCCTCACTACGCTGACCTGGTCGTCTGGTTTGCTTTTTGACTTGAGATAGGTTTCACCAGGAAGCCCTGGTTGGTCTGTACTTCTTCATCCCCCAGTCTCTGCCTCCCAGTACTGGGGTTACAGGTGTGGCCTGGTGCTGTTCTTTAACAATGTTTAAGGGTCACCAAGATTAAGGGTTCCAGACTGACAGGAGCCTCTTTCAGATGAAAAGTACTTTTAGATTCCTGGATTTACTGGGGGATCATGAGGCCTAAGGTCATCTTGTTGGGGCTTAAAAATAACATCACAATTCTGTGACTAGGTACTGACCCAAAGGGAACTGAAAAACCAGGCATTCAACAAGTGCCTGTGTAGACATTTCATAGTGGCACCATTCACAGGAGCTGAGGGTGTGACGAGAACGCAGATGTCATCAGACACACGGCTAAACAAAATGCAGTATTTATACAGAGAAGTGTTATTCAGCCATTAAAAAGAAATGAAGTATTGAAGTGTGTTACACTGTGGGTTAGCCCTAAAATATTGTATGAAGTGAAGAAGCCAGATACATACCAAAGCCACAAAGTGCATAATCACACATCCATTCATGTGAACTATCCAGAGAGATAAGGCCAGGGGACAGGAGAGCACACCAGCGAGCTGATGCTGGAAGGCTGGGAGGAAGGCATTCTGGAGTGATTGCTTACAAGGTTCTCCTGCGGGGGGTGATGGAATAAAAGGATGACTTGGCACTAGGCTGGGAACTGCACAGCACTGTGGAAGTACTGCTACTGAGTCTACGTCGTGACACAGTGACCTCCGTGTTAACACGAGCTTCATCGCTAAGAAACGGTGGTGCCCTACATACAAGCCGTAGGTCACAGCGGGTGCTCAACCTTTCTGGGTGTGCTGCCCTTCAGTGACTGACGTCAGTAGACAGCAAATGGAGACAGCCTGTTGGTGTGGCACAGCGGCACTCATCCACAGAAACGGCTTCTTGGGAGGCTGAGGCCAGAGAAGAGTCTGAGCCTAGGACTCCAATCCAGAGAGAACCCTTTACAATTTTTCTTTTACTTATTGAGTGTGTATGTGGGTATGTCTGTGTATGCATGCACACATATGGGCCATGGCACATATGTGGAGGTCAGAAGAACTTGTAAAAGTCAGCTCTCTTCCTTTACCAGGTGGATCTGGAGATTAAACTTGGGCTACCAGGCTTGGCAGCAGGCACCTGTACCTACTGGGCCATTTGGTTGGCCCAGAGACCCACCCCTCTCAAAAAAATCCCAAAGACATTACAAGTTCCAAATAAGGCATCTACATAGCTGAGGTTCCCTAGTTTGTCCAGGTAGCACAGCACCTAGTGGAGTTAAGCTTATAAGAAGCAGTAAAAATGTTTTTAATTTGTAGAAAGTGCAAAAAAAAAAAAAAAAACCAAAACCAAAACCAAAAAAGCCAGTGAGAAACGCAGAAAGGACTCCTGGGAAGGTACATGTAAGGACGTGGCTGTGCGGCTGCCCGTGCAGTCACCGCTCTCAGGGAGAAACTAGGTTTGTGTTTCTCCCAAACTGCAGTTTACAGTAACTTACTGTTACCACCCTCAGAGTTGGCAAGAGGTCACACTCAGAGAGCCTGGGGCTGCCGTTTCCTATTGCTTCCCCACCGAGACAAGGCAGGAGGTTAAGTTACTTCAGGAGGCTCTCAACAGGGCCTCCCATTGTTGCTTGTTAGAAATTCAGAGCTACAATGGGCCCCATTCATGCTGCCCGTCACAGGCTGGGAACAGCCCCTCAATGTCCACTCAACTCTGGGTTAGGACACGGAATTTTCATAGACGCCAACTTGCACAAATACAAGTTAATTATTAAAACAAAAAACAAAAAACAAAAAAACAAAAAAACTGAAACAGTACAGAATAAAAAAAATAAAACCAGGGGTCAAGACACCTGAGTCAGAGCCATAGCTCTGTCCCTAATGTGACTTTAAACAGATCACATGCTCCTTCTGCATCTTGGTTTCCTTGTGGGAAAATGAAAAGGTTTCTAAAAGTCTGCAGACACAGGAGGGCTAGTGACATCACCGTACTGGTCTCCTCAAGGCGTGCAGACAAGAATCAAGACAATCACTAGCTCACAGCTTTCACTATCAGCACTAAACACAAGGTGTCGTAATAGATGGAACCATCAGAAAGAGTCCAGCAGGTCCTGTGTGTCAACAAGCCCAGGGTCATTGAAGGGAGCCCCATACAGAGAAGGACAAGGACCTTCTAGGATGAAGGACCTAACAGAAGCCACACTGTTTCCGTGTCACCTGCTCTTGGGCATTGTGAGAATCTCTACTGCTTCTCAATGCCTCCAAGTCCTCAGGATGAAAGCACCATGTGCAGCTACGATGGGGCTGGGGGCGCCAAACCACCGCAATGTCATTTCTTGGCTTTTTCAACCTCAAAACCTGCCAGAGCAAGGACTTTATCTCCAGAGCCTAAGGAAAAGACACAAAATAAAAAGGTTATTTCAAGGCATTTACAGTCCCAGGTAAGAAGCAGGCCATACCACATAAACACAGAACAGAAATCAGACACATTAACCTCAACAAAGCCGGCTGCCATCTGGATCTCCTACCCCTCCATAAACACTCCGGCCACAGGAGTGGCTTCCTGGTGAAGAATCCTAACCCAGTTCTAGGTCTGAAGGCAAATATGTAAAATCCTCATTTATAGTTATAATTACATGTTGCTGAAAGGTATTTGAACACAGCTGCAAAGCTGGGGGTACTGGGGCTAAGAAGCTAGTGCTCAGGGATTAAGAGCACTTGCTAGAGGGCCCCCGGTCTGGTTCCCAGTGAACACATCAGTTCACAACTGTAACTCCTGTTGCAGGGGACCCAACACACTCTAATGGACTGCCAAGGCACCATATACATGTAAGCAAAACACTCATACATGTAAATTTTTAAAATAAATAATTCTTTAAAAAAAGGAAAAACATCCGGGTGATGGTGGCGCACGCCTTTAATCCCAGCACTCGGGAGGCAGAGGCAGGCGGATCTCTGTGAGTTTGAGGCCAGCCTGGTCTACAAGAGCTAGTTCCAGGACAGGAACCAAAAGCTACAGAGAAACTCTGTCTCAAAAATCCAAAAAAAAAAAAAAAAAAGGAAAAACAGCTGGGAATGTTGGTGTGTGCCTACAGTCCTAGCTACATGACAGCTGAGGCAGGAGGATGACTTCTGCTGAGAGGTGAAGGCAAGCCTAGACAACACAATAAAGGAGCATCTTAAGAAAAGGTAAGGGGAAGCCGGGCGGTGGTGGAGCACACCTTCAACCCAAGCACTTGGGAAGCAAGGGCAGGAGGATCTCTGTGAGTTTGAGGCCAGCATGGTGTACAGGACAGCCAGGACTTAACAGTATAACTACAGAGAAACCCTGGCTCGAAAAACAAAAACAATTTATTTCATGTGGATGTGCACCATGTGCATGCCTGGTGCCTATAGCCAGAAGAGGCTACCAGAGCCCCTGGAACCAGAGCTACAGACGGTTGTGAGTTATCATGTGGGTGCTGGGCATTCAACCAGGCCCCCTGGAAGAGCAGCCAGTACTCTGAACCATCTTTCCAGCACCATGGCATGTAATTTTTTGAAAATTCATCTGCTTTATTTTATTTTATTTTTAGAGTACTGGGGCTAAGTGTGTGGTACATGCTCACGGTTCTGGCACTTGGGAGGTAAAGGCAGAGAGATGCTGAGTTCAAGGCCAGATGAGGTAAGAGCCTGCATAGAAAAGGGACGAAAGGAAAGGCTAGAAAGTCAGGTCTGTGGTGAAGAATGGCCAGTGTGCTATCTGAGGAGCTGAACTGGATCCTAGCGCCCATATCAGAAAGCTCACAGACATCTTTAACTCTAGGATCCTGGATCTAAGGCTCCATTCTGTGGGTATCTGCATGACCGTGTGCATACACACCACACATGCATACAAAAAAAAGAAATCAGTTCCCAGTACCCACATGGGTGGTTCACAACCACCTGCTCACTCAAGGTCCGGGGACCCAAGGCGTTCATATGGCCTCTTCGGACACCAGCACTCATATGCACAAACACATGCACATACAGACACACATAAAGAAAATTAAATATAAATAATTCTGCCACTTTAAACTCGAAGAAAGGTCATTATGTGGTCTCCAGCACAAGGTGATAGGTTTGATCACCCTTCCCTCCCTCCCTCCCTCCCTCTCTCTCTCTCTCTCTCTCTCTCTCTCTCTCTCTCTCTCTCACACACACACACACACACACACACACACACAGTATCTCTCCCTTAAGACCCTTCTACTCCTGGGAATTCTTTTACTTTCCTTACTAAATCTATGTTTACTCTAAAAGACAGAAGAAAAGGAGTAAAATCAAGCAAGAGGAACAGAGGGGAGGGGAGGGGAAGGAAAGAGATGGGAAGGGAGAGGGAACGAAGAGGAAACTCACTCACCTAGGTCTGTGGAGACTTTCTCAAACTGGCTGAGCGCAGCACCTGCATTGGCTGTCAGGAAGGCCTCGTCATCGTCGGTCAGCTGCACAGGTGAGACAAAGTGCAGTGGGTGAGAGCAAGGGTCAGAGCAAGTCCTAGGACCGCAGTGAGCAAGGCTTAGGGGCTGGGGCGGGCCCAGCAGTTAAAAGCACTCATTGCTTCTGCAGTGGAGCCTGGTGCATTCCCAGCACCCACATGCAGGCTCACAACCAACCCAAACTCCAGTTCCAGGGGATCCACTACTGTCTGCTGACATCCTTGGACACCAGGCACACATGCACATAGCGTACACACATACAAGCAGACAAAACATTCACACACTTAAAATAAACCTAAAATCATTTTTCTTAATTTCTTAGATCTCCAGACCACATCGCAGCACGTTCTGTAACAAGCACAACACAAATGTTCTATCAGCCAATCACACTGCGTGCCAGGACCTTTTCTCCGAGCTTCCTGAGAGCGGTGAGAATCTCCACCTTCTGCTGCGTGTACAGGTCTCTTTCCAGCTTCCCCACCATCAGATCTCTGTCCATCTAAAGAGCAAAGGCAAGGCGCGTGCACATGAGCAAAAGGCAGTCTGTGTAGAAAACCCAGCTTTGCAGTGCTGCTTCTTAGTTTCTTTGTTCTGCTTGTGGTTTGTCGAGATAGGGTTTCTCTAACAGCCCTGGCTGTCCTGAACTCACTCTGTAGACCAGGCTGGCCTCGAACTCACAGAGATCTGTGTGCCTCTGCCTCCTGAGTGCTGGGATTAAAGGTGTGCACCACCACCGCCCAGCCAGTCCTACTTCTTAAAAACAAAAACAAAACTACTTGGTTAATATAAAAAACTATAGAAATAATCTGAAACGTCACGACAGAAGTGCCATCAGGTAAATTTTTGAAATTAAAAAAAAATTACCTTCATTGTTTATCTGGGTGTGCATGCATGTGTGTTCTTGTGTGTGTGTGCCTGTGTGTGAGTGTGCATGCCTGGGATTTTGTGTGAAGTCAGAGGACAAGTTGTGGCAGGTGATTCCTACCATGTGGGCCTGGAGATGGAAATCAAATCAGGTCAGGCTGTCAGGCTTGGTGGCAAGTACCCTTACCCACTGAGCTATCTTGCTGGCCTAGAACAGTTTTTACTCTCCATTTTTGCTTTCTCACTCTGTAGTTCAGGCTGACTTCAAAACATGTACATAACCCTCCTGCCTCAGATTCTTAAATGCTAAGGCCACCGGCATAAGCTACTACATCAGACCAGTTTTTTTTTTTTTTGGTTTTTTGAGACAGGGTTTCTCTGTGGTTTTGGAGCCTGTCCTGGAACTAGCTCTTGTAGACCAGGCTGGTCTCGAACTCACAGAGATCCCCCTGTCTCTGCCTTCC